TATTTTTGCGATATAAAATGAATAATTCGCTCATACCTATTTTATCCCGAAACCCTGGGACGGTATACTAAAGTTTTCCTTAAATTTCATTTCGATATCTCAAAAACTGACGAAGACATTTTTATGAGCCCTAAAAATTATTCAGAATTGTTCAGAATGATCCGTAGAACATTTCCCGCGATTTTTTTGACTCCCTGTAAATCAACCCGCTCTAATATATATATATATATAACCACAACAAACTTATAGTTTTTAAGAAATATATATGTAAATATCATAAATGTAACAATTTAAGTACGCCATGTTTCGATTTATAATGCAAACACAAGTGACCAACACTTTCGTTGCTTCTGATACGAACTAACACTTCACTAAATCGGAGTAAATTTTATATGATGCTTTTATAGGATGCTATTGCCCTGAATTCGGGGTTAAAATAGGTATGTACGAATAGATGAGCTTTTCCAAATGAAGAAAATATATATATACGTGTGTTCAAAGGAAAAGGTGAGTTTTAATTTTTCGCGGGCTGTGTACATTCGATTATCGATATTTTGTTTTAATTATAATCATACACATACTTGTATGATTATCATGTGCTTGCATATGGAGCCGATTTCGATTAGTACTTTGTTTTTGTAAATTTTGGGCACAAGTAATGTCGCGTTAGTATCGTTGAATGACGTCAACAACAATCCGGGCTTGCTCAAACGGGTCATAACGACGACGGTGACGAAACGTGGGTATATGTGGTTATGATGTCGAAACCAAGGCCCAATCATCCCAATGGAAGCTGCCAGAGGAACCAAGACCAAAAAGGCACGCCAATTTCGATCAAATGTGAAGGCTTTGCTCACTGTTTTCTTTGATTACAATGGTGTGGTGCATCATGCGTTCCTGTCAAACGTTATGCAACGTTTGCGTGAAGCAATACGGATCCAACGATCGTAATGGTGGAAAAACAAATTGTGAATGCTGCATAACGATAATGCACCAGCTCCGCCATCCATGCTTATTCGTGATTTTTTGGTCAGAAACAAAACCGTAATCATGCTTTAAACACCGTATTCACCAGATTTGGCTGCCTACGACTTTTTCCTATTCCCAAAACTGAAGAATGAAAGGAAAGCGTTTTGCCACAATTAATAAGATCACTAGTGTATGAAATCCGAGGGGGATTACTTTAGAGGGGACAAAATAGATATTGATAAATAAATAATTATTTTTCAAAAAAAATTCAAAGTTCACCTGTTCCTTGGAACACACTTCGTAAATAGTTGCCGCTGGCTTATGGTTATTGAAATAGGTATTTGCATTTAAAGTTCAAAAATCAAACTATTTCAAATGCGTGCTTCTTTTATTTTTATTATGAAATGCACTACCGCTTCACTAATTCGTTTCTATACATTTCTTTTATAAAAAATAGTACAAAAATTACTATAATTCAATATTTAACTTTTGCATTCTAACAAATAATCAGTATTACCTTATCTACATATTTCGCAAAGGAACCAAAAGAAATAAATAAAAAACGCATTCAGGAGTTTGTAGAATCTGATAGTTGTCGGAATCAGAATTTAACCAATAAAAAAATGAAGCAGCTGTCATGGATTCAGACTGATTTGACGTTCGAAACAGAAATTGTATCGGTTTTAGGTGTCACGGAAACCAATTTTATCGGTTTTATTATCAGAAACAAAGCAAAAGGATATTCGCTGACAGATTGGAAATGTAAGTTAAACAAGTAAGGAAGGGCTAAGTTCGGATGTAACCGAACATTTTATACTCTCGCAAAGTCATATGGTATACTCGTTTGAGATTTCTTTGTGGACTGACCGATAATTCCGGTAGAAGGTCAACTATAGGGACTGGGGTCCACATATTATTGGTTTTGCGTATTTTCGAGAAGACGAAAATCCAATCGGATTCTGTGACACCATTGAAAATCAGAATTGGTTTGCAATACTGACAACTACGCAAATCTGTTTTGGATTTTACCACACCTCTGATTATTACTTTTTCGCGTAGAATTCCTTTCTGTGCAAAATTACGTTTTCTTTGTTGCTTCGATCTGATGGTAAGGACGGATAGAGGACCTCCTCAGGTTTGAAAAATTTAACTTATAGTTTTCGAGATATTTGTATTTAAAGTAAACACATTTTAGAAGTAATGCGCGTTGTTTTTCTATGTGTAATAAACTTTGTGTATATTTTTCAATTAATATATTTTTAATTACTCTGTACACTGTCCTTTTATATGGTAAACAGAGAATTTGTTGATTATTTTTTTAAAACACAAAATGTGTCATAAATGTAAACAAAAATCTCTTGAAACTGTGAGTGAGCCAAGTAATTTTAAAAGCCTATCATATTTATTTTCTTAAAGCTGTGTAAATCTATATTTTGGATATATTTCAGTGTGTACAGTGTTATTACAAATATAATAATGAAATCGTAATCGTGCCTTTTTCTGCATTGGTGGCCTTTGGCAGCGCTTAAAAAAAAAACAAACCTGGTCGGTCAAAATTGAAATGTCCTCAGTTCTTTCGCGGAGAACTTCTTTTTGTGCTGGCTGCCTTCAGAAGTGCTTCAAAAAAATAAAACTTGTACAGATAGATGTTTGAACTTTGAACTGAATTTTCTTTTAAACTATTTCAGCTTTTAAGCTGCAACCAAGAGTAACAATATGAGAATCTTTTGTACACTAACTTTGGCAACACTTTAAATGCAGTTATCAAGTAGGTGTCGTGATTTTTGTCTGCTATTATTTGCGTATGGTCAAACTGTATTATTTAGTAAGCGAATTTCTTTTGTGCGGTTGTAGCTTTTAAAGAAAAAAAAAGGTTAATAAATAAACATCTTAGGATTTAAAAGCTCTCGTGGTCAAATATTGGCAAGACAACAAAACTACTCAAAACACATACTATTTTTCAGTAAATTATTTAAAAATTAAAAAAAAATTGGTGGGGTTGAAAACTTGATGATAGTGGAACGTCCGCAAATGACTGCTGTCGCTATTGCTGTGGAGTTGAGGAATCTGGCATTGTAAAACTCCACTCCAAACTGTCCGCAACTTCTTGCTTTCACCCGATGTTTGAGCGTATACACCACGAAACAAGCCACAATTATCGAATGAAAATATTCCGAAATGATTACTATATTCCTAAGAGTATATCCACCGTTGGGGAAAACTTTAGTATAACGTCCCAGGCTTTCGGGGATAAAATGGGTATGGGCGGATAGAGGAGATCCTCCAGATCAACAATATATATAGTTATAGCCGCGGGAAACCTATAGTTTTCGAGATATTTGGGTTTAAAGTTCAAAATTTCGACTATTTAAAGTACGTATTTTTTTGATTTCAAATGAATTATACACTTATATTTTCCTCTTTTATATCCACTAACACTTCACTAATGCGTTTTTAAAAATTTTTTTTTTATATTAGATGCTGAAAAATAGCTTAGAACAATAAAATAAACAGAGATTGTACCCTAGATACAGATACATTTCTTAAAAACCTTACGTCAGCGGCAGTCATGTGTATATACATCCATATATACCTAATCTAGAAAACCTACTCCACCTTCAACCCCGTATTCTGAAAATGCTATTCTAAATTCCAGACAAAATAGTTGTATGAGAGTTTTATACCTCCTTCATGCGCCTATACCCATTTTAACGCCGGTATTTTAAAGAATCTAAAAAAATTGATTAAATGCACATTTCCGTACCAAAGATTTTAGGCAGCTTTTAATTGTGAATTTCATTCTTATTAAAATTATTGTTATCTCATAACAGTACTATGGAACATGTCCGTACCTTTTCTTGCAAATATTTATTTATATCCTCTAACACTTCCATAGTTCCTTTCTTCACATTGGTTTTGTATTAAATAGTGCAAAAATTACTTTAATCCAATATTTATCTTTAGTTGAAATCCATTTATTCATACAATAACAAAATAGTTGCATGCATGCAACAAAAAATAAGTGTTACCTTATTTTGCAAACGAACAAATAAAGGAAAAAAGAAAGATTATACAATAAAACCAATACAAAATTCATAATCGTGTGATGGATAACGAAAAATCTTTCAACGAAACCTTTAAAAAAAAATCTTTCTTTATAAATCGTGGTGCTAGAGCGACCACGGTTATTTTTTTTTAAGCCCGGCGAAAGTACTAGAGAACACATGGTGTTGCACCTACCAGGGTTATTTTTTTGAAGAGCGACTGAAAGCCGCCAATGCAGAATAGGATTCTACGCGAAATAAATAATTTAAATAGTTGAATTTTTGAACCTAAAAGCGCAAACATCTCAAAAATCATTAGTATATATCTATATTTTCTTAATCTGGAAAACCTCCTCTACAAACCAATTTTAATCCCCAACTCGGGGGGATGCAATTCTATAATTTATCCAAAAAAATAACCCTGGTCCGTCCAACACCGGGGTGTCTCCAGTTCATTCGAGTAGAACTCATTTTTGTGTTGGCGGCCCTCGTCCGCGCTTCAAAAAAATAACACTAAAAATATAAGTGTAAAATTCTTGAATTTTTGAACTTTAAATGCTAATACCTTGTATATAAATATTTTTTTAATCTGGAGAGCTTCCTCTTTTCGTACATACCCATTTTAACACCGAATTCGAAGGATGCGATTCTAAAATTTACCCGTTTCTTTTGTTTACAATAGGAGGAACAAAAATATAAATATACTAGGTTTGCAAAACTTTTCCATATGCATTTAATTAAAAAAGATTCATGTAGTGACTAAATTTTTAAACGATTTTCAACATCCATATATTATATTTTGGCGATTTAAAATAAAATTTAAAACGGGGATATATACTTATGTATTATATATTAATGTATGAATGTGAAGTAGATATGTACACCTATTTATAGATTGATATTTAGTACTTTGGAGTTTTTAATAATTCTTTTTAACTTAATACATTGTTTTTCACTTAATTTTTTGACTTATTTAGTAAATTTTACCTTAAAAAGATAGCATAAAGTAGTTATACACACGCACACAAGCACTTTATACTTATTTAGAACGTGTACACATGCCGATGTGTAGATAGCTATGTATTTAAAAAAAGAACGTTTTTATCAAAACATATTAAAAAAAAAAAAACACGACTAAAAGATATTAAACGTAATTTGAGTGACTGAAATGTGTAACGCATCACACATCAGTTAGTACAATCATACAATAAATCTATCTATATATATATATTTCAATCGGGATTAATTAATTGGTAATTTTATTCCAACTATTTCTTTTCGCTGTTACAATATTTTAAATAATCTCTCCACACATTATTTATTTTGTATTTGTACATTAAGTTTTCATAACCACATACATTTTGTTTCAAGTTGTATGTGCAGCTATTTTTTACAAATAAATTTGCAAACACACTTATGTCCTATATACAACAAATACAGGCAGATTCAGATTTGAACAGCTTAGAAATATAAAACGAACGAATAACTACTAAGGAGTAACGGTGAGCAACGAAAATTAGTAGGATACAATAAGTAGATAAACTTGCACACATAACGATATAACGAAAAACCTTGAAGGTTACACGCCACACGATATATTATAAAAAGTGCCAATAAAACTCATTAAGCAGGATTACAGATTATCTTTTGCTTCCATAAACACTATGATTTTGATTCCATTAACTGCTTTCCTTATATTGCGTATACAATGCATTCATATTTAAAGTGTTATATACAGTTTTGAGTTCATGTAAACATATTGAAGTTATATATGCAATCTTTCTAATGAATAGTTTGCCTTTTGTTCACAATTTAATCAGCGTTTAATCATGTGCTCTAACAATTCATTTAGCAACTGCCGACATGACTACATTTTAATAAACTTTATTTCCTTTTGAATAAATATGTTCATACTTAAACTAAAGTAAACCAACCGTGCGACGAACTTTGCAGAACAGCTAGCATTCACACTGACTGCTTTAATGACTGACGGTCGAACCAAATAACCGAATGACAAGACACGCCGAAGAAGCAGTGAGTAAAGTTTTCCAAAGAGATATTTAACTACTTGGTTGAGAGCGGCAGGCAGTGACGTGAGAAAAATACTTATTAATGTTTGCATGTGCATACTATTTTGGAACTTCAACAAGTAATTCAATTAATGAAAAATTAATTCTCCGATATTTCGTCCTATTTTGTTTAATATATAAAATTTCAAGAATTTAAATAATTATAATTCAACTCCCATTAAGAGCATATCCAGTAGTGATAAGACCATGTAATAAGGGAGTAGCGAAAGTGCCCATTCAAAGTACTTTCACACTTCCCAGGCATACGTTCACAATAAAACCAACACGGTCGCCTCTGGGGAGTTAGGGTGGCGAGGGATTAAAACAGGTCGCGCATGACGAAAAACGCCGTAATAATTATTTATAAATATTTTAAATTTTGGTTATGATGATGTTTAATGCTGTTAACAACATATGCTATTATACCATGTTGAAATAAGTGAAGATTCGGCATATTTTTAAGCATTAATTTATATTAATAGACAAACTGAAAATTCAATTTAACTATGAGTGAACGGGAAGAAATAACTATTGTGGCAGAATTTGATATTTTAAGTCATAATAGTTCATTTGATCAACAAAGCAAAATTTATCATTGTCATACAAGTTATAATAATTCATTTAAACAATAAAAAAAGTTAATCTTTGTAGATATATCAAGAAATAATTAGCAAGCCGATGTTTCCTCTAATTTAAGTATACATTTATTTATTTACAAATTTTATTCACGTTTTATATTTCAGCTTTTAGCGATTAAAATATGCTTAATAAATTACACTCTTTACAAAAAAATTACCATATTATTATATAGTTCTAAGTTTAGTTTTTAAATATATGAAATTTTTAAATAAATTATTTTTTGAAGTTGCAATATCTTTATAGTATAAAATACGGTAGGCATACCTGGTAGCTGTCTTAGTATTTCAGCGTCTAGCGAGAAAAATATGTACAATATTTTATTACAACTCTTTAAATAAAACACTAAAATATTGATAATATAGTTCTAAGTTTAGTTTTTAAATATATAGACTTTTTAAATATATTATTTGCTGAAGTTCCATTATCTTTATATTATAAAAAAGTTAGGTATCTTTCTTTCCTAAAAAGTATTTTATAATTAGTTTACGCAATACTGGGAACACATTTGAATATTTTTAACATGGTCAGACTTATCTTTACAAAGGTGATTTGTTTTTGAGTATTGTATTGGAGAAATCCGTTACAATACATATACATCCCTAATTTACTGTAACGGATTTTTCGATAAATCGTGTACCTATAACTCACTCTTCAGTTCGATCGGTGCAATGTTAAATAAAAGTCCACATTTAATGGCTATACAATAATCTCTATTTCGAATCCACACAACTTAAAGCTTTACTACTCATTTTCCTAAATTACAACTTCCTACTTATATCTTAATTACTCTTAACACCGCAACACTGTGAATAGAACTGTGTCTGCTGCATAGTCCGGCAGCCCTCATATAGTATATCTTTAACAAACCATCGCCTCTAGAAAATTCTGGCAACTACGAATTCGCTTTCTAGTTGCTTCTCGTAATTTATCGTCGTTATATTTATTTCTATCATCCGTGTTCGTCACAATAAATTTAAATACCAAAACAAACCATAGAAACAGATATTACGACAGTTTCGGCCATTATATTAGTCTACAAGAAATGTTAAGATTTTCACTAATTCACACGCAAAAATGTCTCACTCGTTACGGGTAGCCTCAAATATTTTACTACTAAAGTCACACTTGGTACGGGTTGCCCACTTATATTCTACTACTAAAGTCACAATTGGTGCGAGTTGTCTACTAATATTCTACTACTAAAACGTCCAAATAACTCATCTGTGTAGTGTGTTGCCGTGTTATGTTTTAAAATTTATAACTTTAAGAATGTTTTTAATACATATTCAAATATATTTCGATAAGTAAAACTCCTAAAGATTGAATTCACGTTTAATAAATATATGGCTTTGAGTGATTTAGAATCTTTTGTAAATATTGTTTACTTATCAGTACATAAATTTTACCCGATTTATTTTATATATAATTTTGCTTAAGGTGATAATTTCGACTTATATTGTATTTACTATCCATGAAGCGTAACTGATATTATATATATATATATATATTATTTTTTTGTTATATTTGTTATGAAAAGTAGTTTGATTTAGATTTGTATATTTAATACGGGTGTATATAGGCGTCCTGGGGAACCGAACACCTAAAAAAGATCGGTAACATACTTTCATTGCATCCTCAGAGGTGTTGAGGTATAACAATAAATATGCAATAAACTTTTGTTTCAGAAATATATTTGAAAGTTTTCATTAAAGTTTTCCATTACAGATACCCGTTCACAAAAAATTACATCCCTGTGTCAAAAAAGGCAGATTTCGATCAGGTGGTCTCAGCTGTTTTACAAACATAGGAAAACAACTGATTCTTTTGTAACTTAAATGTACACATAGTGTTAAATATCAAAAACTTTTTTTATATTTTCAATGAACTGACGTAGGGTTTCACAATTCCATTTCTATAATCCATGTTACCAGAAGCCTTTCCCTGCCACGGTATATCTATTTATCAGCCGTCCTGCAGCTATCCTCACAAGAACGATAGCAACAAGATTACGCCAACCGCCATCTTGTGACGTAATTTTTTTAAATGAGAAGAAGAAGCATAGAAGAGGATCTAAATAATAAACAAACTCATAAACTGCTTTCTTAATTCGGGAAATAGACTTGAGGGAGTATTCTAGTCTAGAAATCTAAAATATCCGAAACTTTTTTCTTACATATTTTGACAGTTTAGATATTAAAAAATATCTCTTTATCAGGCAGTCGCCATTTCCTGAGTAATTTTGTTTCCAACTTTTCCATAGTTCCAGACAATGCAACATTATATTATATTAAATTGTTTTTTTGGTTTTAGGTTGTTTTGAGGATTGAATTCATGGGTATGATCACGTGCCAATTTTTTTAGAACCCGCACTTCATCAGCTGCTATTATATGAAACTTTTAACTTTTTTGATATTTTTCTGTATTTTTGTTATTTTAAAAGATAACTAATAACAAAATGGATATTAAAAATATAAATTCTCTTATATTACGACACTTCAAAAATTACCTGGAATTCATGCCTCTAGACTAGAATACCCTCTTAATTATTAGTTCATTAGTTCATAGGGAAAAAGCTTTAGTGAAATTAATATAATAGTCGTCACAAAAGTGTATACATACACAAATATATAATTTAAACTGATGAGTAGCAACGGATTCCAATTAAGTCGATGAGCAGCAACAAGTGCCAATACTAGAGGTAATTCGGCTAGTGCCAGAGCTAGTACTTTATTGTTATAATTTAACTTCAAAATACGAAATAAACTGAAGAATACAAATAGAGTAAACTTAATGCTGAGCATATAGAACTACAAAGTTGCAGTATGCGGACTTATCATAAGCAATAACACCGCCTCTTGCGACATATACAAGTGTCAGGTTACCGCTGCAGACCATTGTGGCCAGGATACTGAACTCATGTGTCAGAGGTCTACTATTTTACACTAGTTCACATATTTTGTGTCATTGATGGTTGCACAGGTATGGAATGTGATGATGTAATAATTTTCGTCTGTACTAACTTTTGCTGTGCTCTCGTTGATGACGATCATGCAGTCATCTACTTATGTGATGGGCTTCAGGTGGCTTGGTTGTGTGCGGCTGCCCGTGTATAAGTGTCTTGCTCAGTTAAGGAGGCGTATTTTGTTGTTACGCACTCACTGACTGCTAGTATGTCGTTGTTGCATTCGGCTATGGTACCATCTTGTATCTGTAGAATGACGTGGTTGTGTGTGAGCGGGAAGATGGTGATATTCTTGCAGATGAATTTAGGATATGCTACTAATATTTGGACGAAATTCTCGGACTAGGATGGACCTTAATTTTAGATGCTTTGGTTAGGCTAGCTATAGGAACTTCTACAGGATGCTCATTTGAAATGGACCTCAAATAATAGTGCTTCTTACAAATGCAGTGTATCAATCAACTCATTTTTTTGAAACTACGAATGCAAGAGCTACCAATCAGTGAAGATATTGATTTCTTTTTTAGTTTGGCTAATAACTCTCTAATTTGTGGTATAGTGTGATACCGATTGGCTATAGTTCGCTCGTTTAGCTGCCTAAAGTGGATCAGTAATCGTTAATTTTTATTTCCATTAGTATCGACACCTTTTTGTCAACAAACCAAGCTGGGCTGCTGTAGGGAGACTTCGATGGTCTAATGATGCCATTTTTAAGTAATTGTTTGATTTCGTTATTTACGAAATCTGAAACTTCCATAAGGTAAGGGTATAATTTAGTGTAATTGGTTCATTATCTACACTGCGAATCGTAGCAATGACCGCAGTGTTAAACGGTAATGCTTCGTTAGGGGTCGATAATGCCTTTAATTTTTTTAGTATCATGCCTATGAATTAGTTTTTGGTGGATGTGGGCACTACAATGTCACTGTGAAGTTTTCATTGTCACAGTATTGATAACAGCAGTTGTTCAGATTTGTTTAGTTAATTATAAGTGCTGTCTTATAAGTTTAACGCTGCTCTTGCTTGTGTTAACAAGTCAAATCCTATCATGGCGTTGAATGAACTTTGTGTGTCTAGCACAATAAATGGTGAGGTTTGTTCGAAGATTTTTGTTAAACATTTATTTGTTATTTTACTTGAGCCATGAATTGAGTTCACAGTGAAAGCAATTACGTTTTTTAGCTCCTTTACGGACTTAACGTAATTCTTTGCCGCCCTGTATGAACTAATATTTTTAAAGTTCTCCCGTCCAGCTGTCGTTTGCCCTCTCTAAAAAGTGCCATGCGTAATTGTAACCTAACGATTCGTTGTCATCTTCGACTTCGAGTGCAGCGCTTCCGCTGCCTTCCATAGTCCGATTCTTGTAACTCAGGGGCGCGTTGAAGAAAGTTATTCAGTTTCTGTCGCCTTGGCAATGTTACCCTATGGGACGTGTTTGGTCTTTTTTGGGCCTGATCTCAGTTTTGGGTATTTTTTAAAGCTAGCGTGTTCATCCCTAATATGTTTTCTCTTCTTCGCACATCATATACTCTTCTTTGGCCTGTTCCGTTTCTGCAATGGCTTTGGTGTATCAGGTCAAAAACATACTGCATTCGATACTAGCTTCTGTTTCTGTGACCAATGCTAAAGCAGATGGTAGGTTCTTTGGGTGTGCCGGAATGACAACAGATTTAAGGGACTTTTTTGGGCCAGAAATGAAGGTATGCAGTTAATAAAATAATTAAAAAGTTATCTAATCCCCGTTTGGGTGGTAAGCTTCAAGTTGTCATCTAACGGGATGCCCAGGAAACGTGCTTCTTTGACGAGGTCGGACAATAGGGAGAGGGGTGTTAGATGCGTGGGGTTCATTGGGCATGCAAAGAGGAGGTTAGAGTAATGTGGGACACACGCAGAATATATATTTGGTATGTCAGGTTCTTTTCTGAATAGGTATCAGTTTAACCTGCTACAGTATCCAGAACAAAATTGCACAAGGTTCACTCTAGATTCTTGGGGCCAATTCGAGCTTTTCGTCTGCTTTGGCTAGTGGTTTAACTCCAAGTACGCTATTCACTGGGAGGGACTGGTTGAAGTTGGTATATAAAGAACTCTTTATGCTCCTAGGAGGCTTTATTGAAATAATTTACTTCAAAAATATTTTGTTCCAAATTTGTAATCCGAAGCCTTGTTCCTTTACATAACCTCGGATCATCTAGATTACTCATAAGTATTATTAATACATTTGTATCAATTTATGTGACGGTGCACCTGATAGTTCAAGTGAATTTAAAAACTCCACAAGATATTTGTTTCCATTGATGATGATTGTATCTATTGACAAAATACACTTTCATTTCTCATTGATATTCTTTCAAAATATCGGTGTTTTCTTTATTAACCACCTCATTTGTTGACGCGAATATTGCTGTGGCGCACAACCACTTATCACTACTCAAATTTTGTTGGAGTTCCGGAAAATCATGAGAAATGAGATCAACATCGTTTTCTACTAAATTAAAAAGTTCTCTTGGAAGTGAAATATAACCATCGTCGTCAAAGTCTAAACAACCGTCATCGATTTTCAACAACATTTTTTCATTACGTCCGGAATCTACGTCATTATAAAGATGTACCCTCATATTCGTTTTCAAACTGAATTTAACTAAAACTGCCATTCCTCCCATTATATATGTTTTGGTTATTTATGACGGACATTAATAATAAGCTGAGTAAAAACGTTTTTCCGGTTCCTGCAGGTGCGTCGAGAAAGAAGATTCTCTGTTGCTGGATTCTATTTTACTTATAACTTGATTGAAGACATGATTTTGGTTCAGTAATTTTGGATTTACCTCCGTCATTATTATGTAAAATCTTAGTTTAATTTTCGACCAATTTCATTATTAGAATCATCTCCATTGCCTCGTCAAAGACTTTGTATTTGAAAATGATCTAGCTTTTTTTTCCGACCATTGTTAAAACCTTGTTTTTGATTATAATGAGCGTTTTTTATACTCGCGCAACA